ATCAGCAAAAATGTTGATTTGAGGGTTAGTTTCACTTTAAAATGTGAAACTAACTCTTCTGCTCACATTAAAACAATGTGATCAGAAAGATCACATTGTTTATCTCTACAACCAGTGGGCGGTGCAGAAAAGAAGGTGCTACCATATGGGTGCTGCTACTATTAATAGTGGCCTCACAGACACACCCACTAGAAGGAAACAAATGCACCCTTGGGGAGACTCCCATTGCCCATTATAGCACTTTTCCAGGCGACTATCACTGTACGTTCCTGTTTTGAGAGAGAAAAGATAAGAATTCGCAAGCGAGCAGAGAGGTTTGCGAGCAGAGTTAATTTGTGCTGAGAGAAGTTTTACACGGGAGGAGAAAATTTGAGCATGAGCACAAAGATTTAAGAGAGCACAGAGAATATTTGAAAGATACCATACGTTTTCAGTGCATTACAAGTTTTAAGAAAAAGAAATAAAATTCTGCTTTCAAACGGAAAATGTGTGCTCTTGACTAGGGCTGGACGATGTATCGAGTATACTCGATGTATAGCGATATTTTCAATTTACGGTAGTTAAAGTGGCTATATGGCAACTATCGAGTATAAATTGTCATTCAAATAAACTTTCGCCATCAAATTCACTGCTAGTATGGTTTATCTGACACCCTATGAATGCATCACTAGTCCCTCGCCCCTCCCAACCTGAACATTTTCTACCAATCACGCTGCACGGAGAAAACAAACAACATGATGACAGCGAGAGTTTGAGGCGAGCCGTGAATGAGACGGTAACTGAAGAGGAATCAGATGAATTCGTTTAGTTCCGAAGAGAAACAGCGCTGGATCAATAATTTGGCAGTGGTTTGCATGTCGAGGATGGAGGATGTAGAACAAAATGAGGTAATTTGCAAGACATGTTGTAAAACTATTGCCACAAAAGGTTGTACCACAAATTCCCCCCCAGTCAGACTATTCTTTTACATGTCGTTGTATAGTTATCACTACGTATCAAATACACTGTGTATGTTAACGTAGATTAACAGCAAGCTAAACTCAAATCTCATGAGCCAAAAAGCTGAGCGTCTTGCTCCTTTATTACGTCTTCTTACAATTTTCTACAATGGTGTGGAAGCTCAATGAAAGGTTGATTGAAAAGGCATTGTTTTCGGAGGTGCAAGAAAAGATTGACGACACAGGAGGTGAAGTTTATACATTAACAGGCAGGCTTTCTCTCTGCAAACACGTATTCCTAACTGCAACTGCCTCTGCTACCCACAATGAACTGCTATTTCAAAATTCTCCTTCAAAATAAAATACCGAAAAATCAATACTGTAGAAGTTTTTAAACTAAATTATTAAGACATTTCCAACTTCCAGCCTTGGGCAGAACACCGTTCATAGCCGCGCTGCCGCGGTAGAACTCGTCCGTTAAAGTGAAAACTGGAGATGTAGGTAGGATTCATTTAGTGCTATACAATGGGAAAAATAACTCAAAACTACTCATTCTTCTTTTTCTCACTCTCTGTCGGCTTTACGCTACACGTAGACTCGTTGCCATAGTGACTGACAACAACGCAACTTTATGTGTCAGATTCAGCACTCAAACATTACCCCACATAGAACAGAACATTCAGTTCGTTACAGTTTTATGCTTTTAGACGTGATGTATATTTAGCGTTTATTAATAAGTGATCACTGTGGTAGATTAGCCGCTGCTACTATTAGCCACGCTAACACAGTGATTGTTGATAAGCTAATTCAAACACCTGCTTTACTGATGCTCTGTCAGTTTGTGTGTAGGTCGCCTTTTTTATTTTTAAGCTGAACTAAAATACACCTTATTCCACAACACATCGATATGTTACGTCTGTCAAAGTCAAACATAACTGACCTACTTCCCCTCTGCCTCCCTATTTTTTTTTTCTTAGTTAAAACTTATTTCTCACCTTGTTATCTAGTCATAGTGTAGACAGTTCAAAACACTGCATCCCTTTTTATACGAGTCTTACATGGGTGACATCATGCTGCAAGGAGTCTAACATTGGAGGTCATTTAAGATTATCGTGATATATATCATGTATCGTGATATAGCAAAAAATATATCAGGATATTAGATTTTCCTCATATCCCCCAGCCCTACTCTTGACTTATTTTGTCCTTAATGTAGTTGGTTTCATAACAGATAGCAATAAACAATTCTAGAAAATTGTCTCAATTTATGCCAACAGTTCCCCTGCTTTCCTTCCCGTCTGGTCTACAGCCAATCAGATTGCCTTCACAGTTTGCCTGAAGGAAGTAAAGAGGCTTTGCCAAAATATATTACCCACAAATAATGGATTTTAAATAAAGAACAGCACTGAATAATACTCACGTGGAACTGTTTTAAATTATGATTTTTCAGATCTTTCAGCATATTTTAAAATGAAAAACTGCATGAAGATAATTTGGTAAAGAACTTACCAAAAGGCGCCCAGTCACACCAGGTATCATTATCAGTTATGTTGAGGTACGCTGGTCGAATGACTAATGAACAGTTTCTATGCAGTTCACTCTGAATTTCAAACAAAAAGAAAAAAAAAAAAAAACTAAACGAAACAACTCACATACACAAGAACAAATAAATCAAATAAAAACCACACAGAATGATGTAGCCACCTCTGTTGTGAGGGTGATTTAAGGCAAAGTGACCCTTCATTTAACTCAGATGTTGCAAATTTAGAAAATTAGAAGCTTACAAAACTATAATGTCATCATTTGTGGCATAACTGTTAATTAAATTCTTAGCTAGGGTATATAGATTTGGTTAATTTGTTCTTTTTACAGCAGAAAATGACCTCAAAAGCTATTGGCCCTATTTAATTCTTTTCTCATCTATTGCCACAACAGCAGAATAACATAAGCAATTATTCATAATACAAATTTATTTCCCCCAAAACCTTTAAGACCTTGTATTTAAAGTTAAACAATCCTGAGCCTAACTTTGGAAACCACTACATTCATCTTAAATTGACATGTTGCTTAGATTACCAATATTTTTTCTGCAGCTGAGCATTGTCAGCTTAAATCAGAGCAATACAAACACAGTTTGCTTCACGATTAACAAATGTTTCTCCAGTCACCTTAACAATGCTGATTGGCTTCCTGGAGAGGTGGTAGGCTGTGTAGAAGAGGAATGTGAGGAGGAGAATAAAACCACGATACCTGCAACAGGAACAAATGAAACACAAGCTCATGTAAGTACTAATCTTGTAAAATCTTGTAAAAATGGATTATCCGATTTTACAAGTCTAATAAGTCGTAAAGTAAGTAAGACAGACAAAAAAGAGAACTTGTTTATAAGTTGCATTAATGTTTGAATAACATAAATTACATTTAGAGGAAATAACACAGACCAGTCTGGTGTGAATGATTTTCTTTTTCCATATCTGGTCTCCTATGTCATTAAACAACATGAATTTACTGAAGTCATGCAGCAACAAAAACATACACCATGATACAAATTTCATAAATGAACTGGTACATCTGAAGGACATGCTTAAATTCTTATATCTAAAGTGTTCATGTTTGTTTAATGTCCATGTTTTGGAATGAACAGTGTAAAACTCTAGTCTACTACTTTCTAAGGAGTAAGTAGGTTACTATCTTGATCATATCACAGGCTGTTTTTCTGCTTTCACTCTTAAAGATTGCTTGACCATGTTGGGCTGAAGGTTTAATTCTCTATAAAGTGTTCATATGTGCTCTATTAACTTTTAGTGGAAATTCTCAGAAAATAAAACTTGATTCCTTACAATCAAGGAGTCAGTTAGCAAATCTTCATTGGCACAGACAAAGCATCTGCATAAATTACAACATGTTATTATTGGGTTATTCCTGACAATATTTGAGAAGCACTTAGTCAATTTTGCTCATACCACTAATTTTTCAAAGCCAAATATTCATGAGCAGTCATCATGTCAACTATGTAGATCTTGCAGCAAAGAAATGCATTGCCATCTTTGTTGAGAGTAGTTAGTGTGGACAAGTTTTACTAATCCTAAAAAATACTTGGAATATACTGATTGCTAGTCTGATAAAAATATACTTTGATATGTCAAAACTTTTTCAATCTGGCACAAGCGATTAATACTGTAAAACATCAAAAACTATATAATTACAGTGCATTTCCTGTTAACACACTTAAATACAATTTTTTTAATTCTTCTGCTTGTTGAGAAAAAACACTGACATGCATAAAACTAAGCAATCTGGTTGTTGGTATGGTAAATTATTTTTAATTAGGAAATATTTAGTTTTTACTATTTTTATGATCAGTGATATTGAAAGCACTGCAAATCAGAAGTGCCAAGGGCTGTTGTGTCAATAAAACAAACTACCTGGAAAAATATTTACCTTAGTGGGGGATATTTATGTGTTCAGCTCCTAATCCTTAGTTTCTATGAGGACAGCGGGGCTATTTCCCTGCTGATCATGAAATCCTAGAAAAAGTAACATTGTTCTAATAAATGTGTGAACTTCTTGGTGAAGCAAAGCTGAGGCAGTACTTTGCAGAACAAAATGTTCTCTGCTGGGATATAATTTAACATCATTGTCTCCCAGGATAATTTAGTTGCCTTAGCTCTTACTTCCTCCACATAATTTGTTTCAGAGATAATGAGGTTGTTCCTGCTTTATATTACAAGCATGGTGCTAAACCTTTCAAACATTAACAACCTGCAAACATGTAAATGTCTACAGCAGTGGTCCCCAAACTACGGCCCGCCTCCACATTT